ATTAAATTATACAAGAAGAATTATAATAATTTATTATAAGTTAGTCATTTTTATATTGTCCATCATGGACATATTTTGGACATCCATTGGACTTCTGAATGGGTATATCCATTGGATAACGGAAAACGGATGTCCAATGAATATCCATATGAAGTTCATGGACATCCAGGACATTATTTGGATAAAATATGGACGTCCAATGGACATCGTGTGCTATCTGGGTTCTGTCGCGACATCTGTTAGAACTGTACAGAACTGGCTCGTATGCTCATTGAATAAAGTTTTCTCTATTTCTAAATTCATTTGGGTACATTGCTAAATTTAAATTAACATTGTTATATTCTCTAAAAGGACGATAAATCGTAAATAAATGTACGTCAAAAATAATAAAAGTAATCAACTATGGGTTCATCTATTAGTGAATAGAGAAATTACCTTCGTTATGCAGTTTCAACAACCGTTCAATGGTTCGGTAGAAGAAGACAAAATTATTAAAGACTTGGCGCGACGCAACTTACTGCCATCTATTGCTACTATTCATTCTCCTCCAATATATTTTGCATTGGGATTGTTTTACTAAGTTATATAAATACAATGGTAGTACTCAATCTTCCGTTTCATAACACATGATTGCGGCCTTTAAAAAAGACCTATTACACTGCTCTGCGGGTGATATGCAGCTCCTTGACTCCTTTGGATCCAGCTAAGTTGTTAAGTAGTCTACACTTGAATATTTACCTTAGTCTGTTGTAATAGTACAAGGCGATCCAATGGTACATACCTAATTGAAAAAAAAAGTTGATGCGACTGTCTCAGCTGTTATGTCTACAATTGGTACAGCAGCTGGCCATCTAGAAAACCGGTCAATCATCATTAGACAATAGCTGAAACCTTGTGAACATGGTAGCGGCCTCACAATGTCTAAGTGGATCTGTTGAACACGGTTATTCGGAACTACACTATTCTGAAAAACACTTTTCAAGCTATACAAAATTTTGTCAATGTGGCGATATATTTTTTCATATTTGGCCAGACAAATATTTGTCGAATAAATTAATTATTCCCCGTACGTCCAGGTGAGCCATTCCATGACTCATATGTAAAGTTCTGTTTCGAAGACTTTTCGTTATAAAAGTTCGAATTTTATCTTCGTAGATGCCTCTAGAAGAATTAAAAGGGGTAAATAACTGAAGTTATAAAGACCCATTATTTGTTTTTAACATGTCTTGAAGTTATTGATTGGTCTTTTGTTCTCTTGCTAACTCTTTGGTTTCAACTACTGGCGATAACCTCCAAGCGGGATAGCGAATCTGCTATGTAGTTTTGGTCTGAAGCAATATGTACAAAGCGGGTTGAAATTTAGCCAATAAAGTCAAGTTGTCTAGCTTAACAAATGATTTATGATCGAATTTAATAATTAGGTATCGCCTTTCAATCATATATCTAAATTATTTTATAGATTTGTAAATTCCAAGGAGTTCTCTGTCGTTATGTACTGTAGTTTCTTTGTGTGTCACTTAATTCCTTTAAAAAGAATCCAAGGGGTTCCCAAACTCCATCAAGCATCTCTTCTGAGAATGCTCCAATGGCGAATTCCGATACGTCGGTAGTTAGACAAAGAACGGAGTCTATAGGACGTGCCAACAGTGCTGCGTCTGCAAAAGCTATTTTGCAGATTTCGAATGCTGCCTCAAACTCGAAATTTCAATCTACAGGGCGTTTATTCTTAGTGGCATTTTTTAAGTATTCGTTAAACGAAGACTGATAACGTGCAGCATTTTTAAGAAAACTTTAATAAAAGTTTATCGTTACCAGGAAACGACGCAAATTTATTATAGGTTTTGGCTTTGGAAAGCTTATTATGGCATCGATTTTAGGTAAAGGTTTACTTCCTTCTACTGAAATAAGTTATGGTATTGAAGCTCAGGGTAATTCAAAAGAACATTTTAATGGGTTAAGTACTATTCCGTAATCTTGAAGTTGGTCAAAAACTATTTTTAAGTGGTTTAGATATTCTCGCTTGGTACAATAACAATTAGTATGTCGACAATGTAATCGTAAACGAAATCTAAACCTGGAAGAACAATATTCGTAAACCTTTGAAAAGTGTGCAGCATTACATAAACCGAAGTCGTATATGGAAACTCAAATAACCCGAATGGTGTTGTAACTGCCGTTTTGTAAATATCGTGTTCTACAATAGATATTTGGTGGTAGGCTCGAACGAGGTCCAGTTTGCTGAATATCTTATTAACTAGAATACTTGAAAAGTGTTGAATATGTGCGACGCGATACCTATCTGAAACGATTTGAGCGTTTAGTCGCCAGTAGTCTCAACAGGGCCTTCAACTTCCAGGCTGTGATTTAGCTACCATGTAAAGTGGGCTTGCCCAACAGCTGCTCGAGGGACGACATATATTCTGTTCAATCATGTATTCAAACTCGAGTTTCGCCACTTTTAATTTCTCAGAAGATATTCTACAGAGTTTTTTGAATGGTAAAAAACTAAATGGTTGCTTTTCGGGGGAAAGGTGAAGTACGTAAAATCTCAGAAACGCTGGATAGTAACTTGTGGGATACAGAATTTATGACAATATAAAATGAAAATAATTGAGTTATTGTATCGATTAATTAGTGATGTAGACAGACAGAAAGACCATTCAATTTCAAGAAATCTGCATCATTGATTGGACGAGCAATATCTGCAATCACAAATTGCCATTTGAGAGATTTGCGAAGAGACAAATCTAAACATAATAAATTATGGCCGTATGTGTTAATGACCAAACCATTTGCGGCATAAATGTTAAAATCAGTGCGTTTGGACATGACTAACATCGGCTTGGAAACAATAGAAAAGTCAGCACCAGTTTCCAAAAGGAATTGCATGCTATACTTGCGATTAGTTAGGAAAAGAGGATTTTGCGACGGGACTGTAACATATTCCAACGTCTTAAATGGAGATGTTTCTCTTAGTTTTTCGACGTGGAAATTTGAAGTGTTGGCTGGTCTGTACATATTTAGGTACATTTTCTGACTTTTTCTACAAAGTAATTATGATAAAAACACATTTGCTTATTATCGCCTTTTAAATTTGCTAAAGAATTGTCCTAGTGTCAAGAATGTGAACTTAATCTTTAATTGCAATGCCGCTGTTTATTTTTGAAGTTTGAAAAATCATGTTAAAGTTTGTCGAAAGTTTTAATCAAATTTTCTTTTTTCTCTTCGATATTTTTTAAAGGTGAATCTTGCTAAATTGCGGAAGAATTGGATCGGGAAAGAGCAATTACTTGATTATCTGTGCCAAAAAAATCAATTTCTAAAATGTTGTAAGCAATTTGCTTACTGATAATACCACTTACATGCGGGAAGAAAATTTTTGTAATCAAAGAGTACGTAAAACCTCACTACTGATCGGTTAGTTGCTAGGTTTTTATTTCTCTTAATAGGTGCGAAGGTTTTTTGTCTTTTAGCTCTATATTGTTAATAGCTTTTTTAGCTGTTTGTTTTCGGATTCAATAAAATTATTTATGAGCTGCTCTTTAAGAGTCTTGTTCCTAAGGAGGTTTTGTTACTAAATCACAAACCTATAATGGTGGGTTCTAAAGTAGAGCAACATTGAAGTATTTAATAGTATCCAATCTAATTCTATATCTCAACTTGTGCTTTACTTGAACAAAACAAAGCATTGGATTGTTGTTCCAAAAAGGGGAAAACTTTTTTATTTTGGCTTCGTTAATTTCAACATCTAAAAGAGAAGGGGTTCCATTCTCCGAAAAAAGAAGACTTCCATTTTTAGTCATTGTCTGGTCATCAAATGTACAATGCCGTTTGGTAATTGTACTTAAAAATGAAATACGATTTGGGATAACTTCTTTAATTTCTTCTTAGAAATATTTTTGTCGTTTTTACCAAATTTAAAATTGTCAACTCTAACTAATAGTGGATTTTATTTGTTGCACTAGGTGTAAGTTTTATACACTAATCGCATTTGATTTGTTCAGTGTAGCTTCAAATATTTGACACATACTTGAGTGTAGCATATACTTTTGACAAGTATGACAGTTCGAATACAGTGTCGAGTGTTACACTAGTGCAACAAATAAAATCCATTTTGAATCTACAGTAACTGAAATTCATTACAATAACTACAATGACTACCATCACAACCTACCTCAACATTCACCTCTTTCTGTACCACCTTCTTATTCTTCTTTTCCTCCTGTGCCTTTTCAACCACTATTATTTATTCCTTAAGATACGTTAACTGTAGATGTGGGATACTTAGATGATTCAAAATTGCTTATTAAAAATGGATCCAGTAACTAGTTGCCTAGATACTGTAAGTTTTATGAAGTTTGCCTAAATTTTTATTTAACCAAAATCCAACAAACACTCAGTTTCAAAATTTAAAATTTGGGATATAGATTTTTCTCGATATATATAATAGAAATAAGAAATTAAAATTCGGGTTACTATATTTAAAAAAATTCTTCATTCATTGTTAATATTTCCGCCTTAAAAACAAGACAATATGTAACAACATTTTTTATATCTGATGAGACATTTCAGAAGAGCGAACAAAATTGATTTAGATAGAGTTCATTTCAAATTTACACAATTCGTTTAGGATACCTATTTTTTTATTTTTTAATTATTATCTTCTTCCTTATAATATCTTTAGAGTGGAATGCAGAAAAGTACTTTTCATATATCTCAATTTTGCCTTATCTCAGTATTTTGAAAATATTTGACAGTGCCGTAGTTAACTGAATATTAAACTTTTTAAATTAATTTTTAAATACCTTGTATAATGAAAAGTAAGAAAATTATTAAAAATTTGTTTAGCTGAAAGTTTTAGTTACATACACAAAAAATTATATTATTAAATATATTTCGTAAATAAGCTATATGAAACAATTTAAACCTATTTATTTAAACATATCAATTTAAACATAATATTTCGATAATAATCTGTAGTTTGTTAATAATTGTTTCAGTTCCCTCAGAATTGCCAATAATAACTAAGGAACATTTTAATAAATGGTATTCCCTTAAATCCTACTACTTAGCCATTTCAATAGCAGATATACCGGTTCAGGTAAGTTATTTATATTATTGCTCTTTTCTTCCTTCCTAAAATTGTAGATTTTTTATATAACCTCATTTTTCATTACTATTTTGTATTATTTATTTCTTCTTTTTACCGTTCTTGCAATATTTTCTAATTATTTTTCTATCTATATTTCTTTTCACCTGTTTTCACTAGTCCTATTTATATTAATATAATTTACTCCCTTAATTATGTTTTCTCCTCTTTTTTGTTGTCGCTGGCGCTAATCATGTTTTATTTTATAGATGGCAGCTACTACGTGTTATGGTTTGCTCACATACTTTATGACCCAACAACCAATAGAAGGTTACCGGATAGGTCTGTTTCTACTGATGTGTATGCTCATTGCTGTGGTATCTCAAAGCTTCGGATTACTCATTGGAGCCACAATGAGCTTAAATGTAAGTAAAAATTGATCTTTCATATAAATAAATAAAGGTTCCTTTAAGTAAATTACATTCTATTTTCGTACTGTGTTTCCACTGTACAAAATTTGTACATATTATAGGACTATAACAACAAAGCTCCCCGCGCTATCCTCATTGAGAGTGGAAAATTTTTCGAGAGAGCTCGAGAGAAACGAGAAATTCTCGTCGAGAGGTCACACTCTCTCGTCTCGTCTTGAATCTGTTTTCGAGAGAAAATACCTCTCTCGTCTCGTTCGAGACGAGACAAGACGAGACCTTGCACCTATTTCGTCTTCTTGCCTTTTAAAAAGTGGCTGGGTGGGAAATGGTTTCAAAACGACGAAAAACTGAAGACTGGCATTACCACATGTTTCAATTCCGAGGCGGAAGACTTATATGTTGAAAAGCTGGTGCAGCGTAACAGAAAGTGAAGAGATGTTAACTGTGATTATGTGGAAAAGTAAAGTAGATAAGTAGAAGAATATTGTTGTCAATGAAAACCTTTTCTCATGAGCTTTTTTTTTTAATTGACCAAACGGACCTTAATTTATAGTCAAACACAATCAAATTGATTTACGAATAAAAGAGTTACACTGGTTTAATAGCAGAAAATCCAAATGGGCATTAGAAAATAATTGCATCCTTTATAAAGTTATCATAGAACTTATCTATTGAGTTCTGAGGATGTACGAGTAAATAAAATTTAGCTATATTCTAAATATAATTTAAAATCTTGAATATTGGATTGCTTTCTTTGGATTCATGGCTTGCAAGCATGACTGTATCAAATGTAGCAAATGTTCTCATGACGGTTTCCTTATTTTTGTTTTTTGTCCTTTCAGTCATCCCTCTTCTCGCCCTTGAGGGGTTCCGGTAGACTTCTATAATCAGGCTTTCGTCCAGCCTCTTGTTGCTCGCTGCAATCAGGCTTGGGGTCTAGCCTGCTATTCCCTCCTTTGGGGTTGGCAAAGCAGTACTTCAGCTCAAGTCGCTTATTATATTACTAGTTAGATGCCCGACTTCTTCCTATCCATTCAACTCATGTATTTTAACCATCCGTTCCACGATCTAAGTGGGCCCCGAGCCCTGCGAGTTCGGTCGCATACTCAGACCATGACCAGGCCATCAACGCTAGAGACTTATGATTGGTCGCTGTATACAATACATAATAGTAAAGGTCCAAGAACCCATAGGGAATACATGATTTTATCGGGAAATTGTTGTACATACTTTCATTCACTTTTGTTCGGAATTCTCTGTCATCTAGGTAAGAAAGGTGTTTATTGACTTTGTAGTTTAAGCCCTCATTTCTAACTTTAACAAATGCTTTTTTATCATTAACATTATTTTGTAGTTTTTGTCTTCCCTTAGCTAATTTGCTAGTTCTTCCAGGTCCATTTCTGGTCTTACAGGATTTTTTCATAGACAGTGTGTATGTTATTCAGGTAATACTCTGTATATGAGTTCAATTCACGTTCAATATATTACCGATTTTGATAAATTCACACTGGTAATTAATTAACTTATAATTTGAATTTCTAAATTCATCAATAATTATTAGCCATTTAAAATGTAGAAAAACTATCATATATTAGCAGATTTTAAAAGCAACAGACAGATTAATCATCCGCTTCTGCTTCGGAATTGTCGGTTTTCTTGTTTTAATCTGACAGGTTAAAACGACTAAACCGACAATTCCGGAAGCAGAAGCGGATGATTAAAACGCACCTGATATTTTGCTTGCTGCTGTCAGTGTCAGTGAATATTATTTTTGAAGTCACAGTTTATTGCTAAAGAATCAGTTAGCTCACTCGGACCAGTTGAAAGTTGCAAAAAAAACATCCACTCCAGGGATACAAATTCAGGATACGCAGAAGACTGCTGTTATCATATATTGTATTATCCGAGTTGCACAGTGTATAAACTGAAACATTGAGATCAAAAGTGCCGACGCAAAGTGAGCGATCTGATTATTTAGCTGTAAACTGTGTCACAGGGTTCAAAATGGCCGCGCCTTATGTTGGGCGTGTCGGACCTCTCTCTTGCCTCTCTTGCCTCCCAAGGCTGAAACGTTGACTTCTGTAAATGCCGTTTGTAGTGCACATTTCGTAGAAAGTGACTTCTAGGAGGAACTAGGAAGCGTTTAAAAAAACATGCTGTGCCAGCTATTAATTTAGGACCTCGTAAGCCATTGATGTTACCTACTAATCTTCCAAGGTAATTAAGCTATGACAAATATATATTTATTAAATTATACTTTTTTTTTATATGTATACCTAACTACAAAATTATATGTAGGTATCGATAATATATTTATGGATCAGAGCCCATTAAAACAAGACAATAATATAGAATACCTGTCATAGTCATTCAATAATAATAAAATTCTAAATAATACCTAATACTTAATAACAAATTAATTTGAAATATATCTATATTAATAAACAATTAATTAAAAATCTAAAATCTATACCTCACATACCCATATGTAACTGGTTACAAAATTAATTTTTTTAAAGGAGGATCCTAATAATAATAGGTAAAGTTCCTGAATATGATTCTTGTCAACCACGATTTGTAGACAGTATTTTGCCTCTAGCTTTGGTATATGTCTTAGAAATTTAGTTTTTAAAAACTCAAATAAATTTAAGCAAATTATAGATTTCATAATTTTGTAACTAGTCATATTATGTCAGTTGCTAGATTAACAGTAAACTTCCGTACTTCATAAAAAACTGTAAAACATTTTATTTAAGAATACTTAAGCTCAAAAAGTTTAATATATAAACGGATTCGGAATAAATGTTTCATGTGCAGCGCCTTTAACAGCAGGTACTGCGATAGCTTTATAATAAGGGAGCGCACCTATATCCCACTGTCGAAATGATTGGAAATACGTCATGTGATAGCCACACCTATATCTGCTTTCACACTCATTCTCGTTTCATTTGAATATTCCTCTTTTTGTTACTCCTAATACTTTTGCGCTGTGCACATGAAAAATTTATTCCGAATCTGTATATATATTTTCATTATGTAGAAAATTTTTTGAATTTTAAATATTGTTTGTAATTACTAGTTTATATTACTGTTTTATTTTTGACGAATCATGTACATTGTAAAAAATGTCTACCTTACATAAATTATCTGTCTATTGTAATATTACCCACCAAGTTGCTTGGCTGCCACCGTAAATTTCTGATTCGGCCGAAACATTTATAAATATCTTATTTTTGTAAATAACATTACAAATGTGAAAGACATATTTCTCATCTATAAAATTGTTACTAACGATAAAGAATTCTGTTAATTCATTAAAGCAAAAATAAAACCTATACCTATCACTGAAAATTTTGCTTGAGATGGGGTCGTTTTTATGGAAAATTTTAATGTTACTATACTTTACTAATAAAGCTACAGTTACTTTATCTTAGTGTTTTATTTAAATGTAAATATATCTCAATAAAATTAATGCCGCTAGTAAAGGTTTTTAGGCTTAGTCACTTTAAACATTCTTATGCTTCCCTTTGATATATTTGTGTAAAGAAATCTATTGTTTCTATGAGCTTAACAGTCTCCATTCGATCCTTTTTGGAAAAGCCTACAGACTATCCAAAGGTAAGTTTTAACAAATTTATATATGGGTTTATGCATTAAAACAGATTTTTAAAACAAATATTACTTTTGTTATTCTTAGAGTAAGCAATGATAAAATATCTATACTTTATTACATAGTTTTAAAAATAAGTAACTCCCCCTAATACCTATTTTTTGACATCTACATACGGTAAAACAAGTGGTAAGAAATATAACTAAAGATTAAAATGGATTTTCTTATTGTTGAGTTTTAAAGATATTAATTTCTCTTGATTTAAAAAATAGTACATGAAATGGCCGAAACGGACCTGCAAAGGCACTTTGTGCGCATTCTCGCCAGTATCGTTGGGACGTAATGCGCGAATTCAATTTGGCTTACTTTTGTTAATAGGGATTGGCGTTCCATTTTAAGTATACAGTTCACTGCTTCAGGGATACAAATTCAGGATACGCAGAAGATTGCTGTTTTATTATGGGCGGTTGTCATATATTGTATTATCCGAGTTGAGCAGTGTATAAACTGGAACATTGAGATCAAAAGTGCCGACGCAGAGTGAGCGATCTGATGGTCGCGCCCTCTGTTGGGCGTGTCTGACCTCTCTCTTGCACCGTATAGTAAACAAAGTGTGTGTTGATTTGCACATACTTTGATTACTATACTATACTTTCTTTATCTTTAAAAACAGGTGTTTTTCCAGATTACTGGAAAACAAGCTTTATCACTCCAATATTTAAATCTGGAAATCGAGCTGATGTACAAAATTATCGGGGAGTGTCGATATGCTCAGCCATACCGAAACTTTTTGACTCCTTAGTTTGCAATGTTCTTGCTGCTGCTTGCAAACACTTTATTATACCTGAACAGCATGGGTTTGCTCAGGGTAGATCAACAACGACCAATTTGTTGGTTTATGAAAATTACTTGTTGAACGCCTTGGAGAAGCGACTTCAGGTTGACAGTATTTATACTGACTTTTCCAAGGCGTTTGACAAGGTTAGCCATAGAATTTTGGTTGCTAAGCTAAAAGCGCTGGGTTTGGGTGAGATCTTGGTCGCATGGTTCGCAAGTTTCTTAAAGGATCGTTTTCAGTTTGTCCGTGTTAATAATGTTTTGTCGGCTGAAATAAAGGTGGCATCGGGGGTGCCGCAAGGCTCTCACTGTGCCCCCATACTGTTTATCTTATTTATAAATGATATTGGTAATGCGATTGTTAATTCAGAATTTTTATTGTTTGCGGACGATCTAAAATTATTTAAAGAGGTTTCGGAACCATCCGACTGCATGTTAATACAAAGTGATCTAGATGGACTTAGTGCTTGGTGCCGAGACAATGGTTTACAGTTGAACATTGATAAGTGTTACTCTATAACTTTTTCACGAAGAACAGTGCCTATAACAAATATATATGTCTTAAATGACTGAGCGCTAACTGTTAAGGGTTCAATTAAGAATCTCGGCGTGATTCTAGACTCCAATCTTAACTTTCGAGAACACTTTGGCATGGTAGTTAACAGCGCTGCACGAATGCTTGGCCTTGTAACACGAAACAGCGTTGACCTGTCTATAAACGCCTTTAAATTGCTGTATTGCTCCCTTGTCAGATCTCTATTGGAGTATGCATCTGTGGTATGGTCACCCTATCATCAGGTGCATGTATTTGCTCTGGAGGGAGTTCAAAATAAATTCTTGCATGTTGTTGCCTGGCGTTTTAATATTAATGTCCATATCGATGCACAAAATCCATATTATATTGATTATGAGCCTGTACTAAATCGCCTTGCGATTTCTACATTGGAGTCCAGGAGAGCGCAGTCTTCCATATGCTTTTTATACAAATTATTGATGGGAAGTATTAACTGTGATTGTTTGCTAAATTTAATTAACTTTTCGACCACGCGTCGAACTAGAAATAATGATCTTTTTTACATTCCCACCAATAACACAAACTACGCCATGCACAACCCTCTCACCCGTATGTGTAGATTATACAATGAACACAATATCGATCCTTTTAAGTTCAGATCTCATCAGTTTAAAAAACATATTTCCAAAATTATGTAACTAAATTAAATTAGGTTGTTTTGGTATAAATATGATATTGTTGTGTTAGTATCACTTATGAAATTTTGATATATTTTGTTATTCTACTAAAATTGTAAAAATGGAGTTTCCGTATAAATAAATAAATAAATAAATAAATAAATAAATAAATAAATAAATAAATAAATAAATAAATAAATAAATAAATAAATAAATAAATAAATAAATAAATAAATAAATAAATAAATAAATAAATAAATAAATAAATAAATAAATAAATAAATAAATAAATAAATAAATAAATAAATAAATAAATAAATAAATAAATAAATAAATAAATAAATAAATAAATAAATAAATAAATAAATAAATAAATAAATAAATAAATAAATAAATAAATAAATAAATAAATAAATAAATAAATAAATAAATAAATAAATAAATAAATAAATAAATAAATAAATAAATAAATAAATAAATAAATAAATAAATAAATAAAAATAAATAAATATACGAGGCAAGAGAGAGGTCCGACACGCCCAACATAAGGCGCGGCCATTTTGAACCCTGTGACACAGTTTACAGCTAAATAATCAGATCGCTCACTTTGCGTCGGCACTTTTGATCTCAATGTTTCAGTTTATACACTGTGCAACTCGGATAATACAATATATGATAACAGCAGTCTTCTGCGTATCCTGAATTTGTATCCCTGGAGTGGATGTTTTTTTTGCAACTTTCAACTGGTCCGAGTGAGCTAACTGATTCTTTAGCAATAAACTGTGACTTCAAAAATAATATTCACTGACACTGACAGCAGCAAGCAAAATATCAGGTGCGTTTTAATCATCCGCTTCTGCTTCCGGAATTGTCGGTTTAGTCGTTTTAACCTGTCAGATTAAAACAAGAAAACCGACAATTCCGAAGCAGAAGCGGATGATTAAAACGCACCTATTAATAATATTGCGACAAGATGTAGGCAACACGTAATATGGGTTCAAAATGGCGGAGTTTTCTATCTCCTTTTAAAAGGCACTCAGAAAGCTGCGCAGTACGACCATTCTCCGTATAGTAAAAGAAAATCAAAGTATGTGGTTGATTTGTAATAATTTATCAATCTTCTTCTTCTTTTCAATTTTTGTAGGCCTCAGCTGCCAGGGCTATTCGGCCTATGGTTTTAGGATAATTGATGGTGGTCTCGACGATTATTTGCAATGATAGGATTGAAATGTTACCCTACTTTATGGTAGGACTCTTAAGGCTTCACTTTTGAATTACACACTGTTTTTATTACCTCACAGTTGATAGTTGCACTACAGTTTGATGTTGGATGTTGTTAGAAATCCGGAAATTATTTTAATGTTTCCCTGATCGAACACTGAGAAGGGATAATATATATTTTTTGGAATCTTCAAGGATTTATGTAGATCTTCTGTTGTGATGATTTGTTGAACATGAGAAAAAATATGCTGTAAGTCCTGTGACTTTGTTCACAATCGCACAAGTCACTGGGAATGATCTTCAGTCTATTTAGGTAGGACCTCCGAATGGTAGGACCTTATTAACAAACAATGACGCAATGTAATGTTCAATCATCAATCAAGGATGACAAAAAGAAGTGTTTAGTTATGTTATTCTTCTTTCTGTTATAATAAATTGTGAATGTTTTGGTCTGAACACTCAACACGCGTTTGCTAGCGAATTATCAGATCAACTAAAATGTGGCACGTGTGAAAAATTCATATAGGAATATAATCGTGTTTTTATATGCTGGGGCTGCGACTTTTAGTACCTTCGAAGAATATCCTGTTATAGAACGTGCTTAGTATATAGTTTATAGAATATACTTTTAAAGCACTTACTCAGTATATACGTTCTAGAATATATTTTGATTGTATATTCTAGGCATGTTCTAAGAACATTCTAAAAAAAGGATATACCAAAAGGTACTTAAACAGCACTTTCTTAGTATATTCATGGAACATTGATATTGTGGGCATTTTCTTAATCCCGACTGGGATGTATATTTTGTTCGATGTAGTTGATACTGGTGTGGCGTGTTGTGTTCCCTATTTAAGTGTGTTATTTAATGTTGTTAGTGCTTTGTCAATTTTTAAAAATTTTCGATAATAATCGTAACACTTATTTTATATTGCCCGTGAAAATATTTAGCACCGGGTTCACAAATAAAGGACAAAATCCTCTGTATTGACAAGCTGATTATTTCTATTTGTACTTATTAGATTTTTTCTTTTTTTTTTTTCAGAGTGGAGTAATATTTGGTCCATTCTGTTTCCTGCCGTTCACAATTTTTTCCGGATTTTTCGTCCAGCTCAACGCATCGCACCCAGCATTCCGTTGGATTTTTCACATTTCCTTTTTAAAATACGGTTTCGAAGGATTACTTCTATCCGTCTTAGGATACGACAGAGAAAAACTACCATGCAAAGTCGAAGATTACTGTCACTATACGAGTCCAAAGAGATTTTTGTCAGACATGGATATGGAATATTCTACATATTCGCTGGCTGTGATATTTTTAGTTTGTTTGTGTGTAGCTTTAAGAATCGTCGCATTTATTGCTCTGAACTTTAAAGTTAGAAATAGTCGACAACACCGGTAGAGACGACGGGATCTTATGCCGCATTATTCGGGAAAATGGAATACTGTAAAATTATTAAAAACGGATTAACGGGCAAGAGTATCCAACAATTACAGCAAACACAAAAATCTACCAAATGTTGCATTATTAAATATGTTTATGTCTTCTTAAATAACTGAAGAGGTGCTGTTAAAATTTCGGAACTAAAAAAAAACTGAAGCAAATTTAAAAATACTATTAAAATCGTAATCAGGCTAAATTATGCTTGATTAAAAATAATGATCTCTTCATCAGATATTTAACATGATTATTAGACGAAACAACACAGTACATTCAAGGTTCAAAATTAATAATTATATAGATTTACAATCAACTAATAGATGTTCAGGGCTATGACAAATAATATTAAAATTTAATATTTCAACTTGTTACTTAATTGTCATTATTTCTTATGCAGATAAAAGAGTTAAAGGAATTATTTTAATAATCCACGTGATACACAAAAAAAATGTATTTCTTACTGATAAATCGTTACGACTGAGTTTTTTTATAAAAAATTATATCTGGTTTAATTAACAGGATATGTCGTGACTGTAGCTGGAACTGTCAATATATATGTAATTATAACTATCAATGTAACTGACAATAAAACTATCAATATAACTGTCAATATAATTTTCAATATAACTGTCATGTCAATATAACAGTCAATATAACTGACAATATAATTGTACAAAACTGACATGGCTCACCGTGAAAAGTAAAAATATTGTCAACAAAATGAGAACTAATAATAAAAAACATGGAACATAAGAGATTGATGAAGTTGTGCTACTGTCTTAATTTCCAGACATGTAATAAGTTACGATTATTATCATATTGATTTTTTTGTGTAATTTTCAAAACATAATGCATCAGTTATAAATTCGTAACTCCCAGTCATATTTCATTGACAGTTACGATAGCCACGGCAACTATGCTATTATTGCTTTGCTGTTATTGTTCAGTAATAAATAAATAAATAAGGTCTTAAAAGGATATAAGAAAATTCTTGGTGACATAACTTAGCTTTAAATAAGTTTCTTTGTTTTATAAACAAACATCACTTAGAAGCACTTTATTACAATAATATATGAAGTGATCAACAAAAAATGTTTCTAAAGTAGGCCTTGGAAAATTCATACATATCTGATCGTACAATTCTTCTTATTTTTAAGTATCAGTTTAAATTTAATTCAGAGCCGTGCATGATTCGTACCTCTTAGAAACATTTTTTGTGGATAATTTCTTATGAAGGGGATTTTAATTGTAATCTTTCTGTTTGAATGATGTAGTACCTACTTTGTTCGGATAAAAGGACATTGATAGTTTTAAGTTTAATTAGGTATAGGTACGTTATTATTCGTTTTATTATTTATAACCAATGTGCATTTTTACCAATTTTTATGTGATATTTTAAAAATAAGAATAGGTAAGAGATGTACAAAAACTGTATTATCATGCGTATTATTGTTAGTATTCAAAATGGTAGGTTTCTGAGTGTATATTTGGCAACATTTCTATATTAATGTATACTTGGAAATTTCTTTTTCTATAAAATCAATATTTTTCGGAAATGAAATAGGATAGTTAAAATATATTTTATTTATAGTTAAGCTTATCACATTGCATAAGAAACCAAAACCAATTGGTGATTATCCTTTTTTTGAATATTGAAATATAAACAAATAAATAATCAGAAGCCTACCAATACTTAAAGTTTGTTTGAAAAAATTTTAAAAAGTTATGTTCTATTTTTCTTTAATATATTTTTACGAAAATATTGTAGTGTTTCTTTAAATGTAACGTTACCCACCCTATTTTTTATATAATCTATTTAGTTTTCAACTGGCCAATTAACTTGATTAATTATAAAATATTGAATATATGCCATTCTATTTTAATATTAACTAAAAAAAATATCATATAACTTTTTTCTGATTGCTAAATATCAGAAATCAGGTCCACCGCAGTTTATGAGAAAGACCCATTGTAAGTTTTTAAATTGTCACTCGGTATACCTACCTGTAATAAAAGAATAGAGAACGACCCAAAACTTGGCCTTATTCAGCATATAACCCGAGAATACTGATCAAGGAAAAGCGACAGTAGCTGTCGTGGCCTTTGATATCGGGTGGACCTTTTTCACAACATGACTTTGATTAAGACACAACTTAATACGCTGAGAAAACATGCTTATTTTCTACACTGAACGAAATAGTTTTGCAAACTATCTGAATTCATTGCTATAGTCCATGCGCAAATGTTGTAATGTGATTTAAATACATTAAAGTAGTTAGGGTTAATAGCAATGGTTAAATTTCGGCAGTAAAATATAATTCATTATGTAATAATTAATTATTTGTTATAAAAGTAAAAGACGTTTATTATTTTATAATTTATCTATAAAATTTGTTCAATATTTGGTTTATTTGTTGTTAAAAATGTAATAAAAGCTCCATATTTAAATTAAATTACCTTTTCCTTAAGTAAAAATAAGGTAAATAAAATTAAGGGTACCAAAATAAATTTAGGTAACAATTAAAAAGACATTAAGTTTGAGAGGTTTAACTAAATATATGCAATGTGCTTTTAGCTTTTAGGTTTAAAAAGTACTAACATCTTTTTGGAATTTCTGGATTTATATTATATTCAAAGGACTTTCAAGTTTATTACTAATTTCTGTAGGAACAAGTGTTTTCTCGCAGAGATAAGCTAGATGTCATTTAAGGTTTATGTATTTAGAATTAAATACCTGGCCTGGCTATCACCCAGACAATACAAATATGTCCATTGGACGTCCATTCAATATACAATTTTGGATGTCTAGAAGTCCAAAAATGAGTTTTTTCTGGACTTCCGATATCCAATGGAGGTCTAGTGAAGTATAAAAATGGCACACTTTTCCATTCAGACAGAGGACGTCCAATTCTGGAATATATTTGGACGTCGAATACTGGACATTCAAAAAACGTCCAGGTTTATATTTCCATTAAGACCACATCCTCACTTTTTTTACAGAACCGCAACTCACCACACACTATTTTATATTATAATTAATTTGTTTATTATTTTCGCAAACCGCTATATACCATTTTTTTTTTTTTTTTTTTTTTTTTAATTAAAGATCGCTTGACCTGAGCAGATATCGAACTCACGACACATCCATTATCGTTTTATGCTTTCAATCGCTAGACTAGCTTGACCAAGGAACTACTTGAAAACTTTTTACTAGATATAGTAGTTATAATGGAATATTTCAAACTTCCGCTGATAGAATGAAATGCAATACATCCAATTTATCAATTTTTAATAACCAATTATTTAAAAAAAAGGAAGTATACATAGATGGGAATTATCTGGTAAGCTTAATAAATAATGACCTAAGATGGACGTCCACTGGACGTCAAAATACTACTAAACTTAAAATTAAGTCCAAAAACAGACGTTCTCTGGGTATAGATATTCAGCTGTCAAATTAATTAGCATAAACGGACGTACACTGAATGCCCGGCTATGGACGTCCTGACCCTCAAATGGATCTAAAATGTACGTCCATTGGCCTATGTGTGCTGTCTGGGCATAGACGAATTTTTAGAAATAGTACTTATTTAAGTATGTACCAATATTTCCAAAATCAACTCCAGTATGATTCATTCAATAAATATAAATATGAATGGCCAAAACATCTTTATATTGACATAATTGTAACTTATAATTTAGCCATATTAAAGGGATTTCGCCCACTTTGACCAATCCTAATTGAAACACGCGGATTTAATATATTTTTTTAAATATAATTTCAAAATAAAATAAACAAAATCTGCAGTTCATTGTTTATTAAATTTATTTAAAAGAAGACAAATATATATTTCAGAAAAGCCAATTCCTACATATGAAAAATAAAATGTCAAAAATGATTAATCATTATACTTAATATTTATACATTTGATCAAATTCTTAGTCTCCTAATAACTTTTTTGGCACATTTTATATCTGTATTAGAATACCTAAGTGTGTAAAAAATCTTCATCTTATTACTACACAAAACAAACACCAAAAAATATCACTTAACATTGCTCACGTAGGTAGTGACTGCTTGGACTGACTTTGACAGATAACATCATTTTGAGTGGTACACAACCTATTTTTGCACATGCGCGTTACAAAACGGTACACTGAAAACACCAAGCTGTCGCTTCTCCTTGATCGGTATTCTCGGATATAACCCCAGTATAATTAATACAGTAGCGACAGCTTGAGTCGGCTCCTTTGATGTCGGAGTGGTCAGATTTTTATTAACAGTTGACATTTTTGCCGCTTATTTCTACACTGAAAAAAGTAACTTTAAAATATCATGTCTGTTTAAATTAAATATCACACAACAAATGAAAGATGAAAACTAAGTCTAAATATAATAAATATATATTAAAATATGCATTACAACCAATCAGATAATCAAAGCAATCAACTACCACTAATCCATTGACAATTCACATATGCCAGTTTGACGTATTTGCTGCTTATTTACGAAAATATTGAACCCTCATAAACAATGAAGTGTCGCTACTGTATTATTACTTATACTGAAATATAACTGTACTTATAAAAATTACATATTAATCAGATTGTAACATTAACGAATAAACAATCTCCTCAGCAATGCAAGAGTATACGTTTTTCGTCATAACCGATACGCCATCTGGCGTACGCTGTGAAAATCGCTGTAAGGATTGGTTTTTGACATTTGGCGTTGTTTAGTGTGGTTTATTATTGTTTTTCGATGGTTTTTTTTTGTGTTTTTTATAAGTAATTGTGGATTTATTGTTTTTTATATAATGAATAATCATTATTGTTGTGTACCTCAAAGTTCATCATGGGCGAAAAAAAAACCCTGAATTCAGTTTTCATATCCAAAACCAGAAAAGTCAAAGGTTTTTTTTTAAACAAAGTTTGGAAATAAAGAACTGGTCTATAAGAGACAAATGTGGATTAGAATGTTAAAACTGGGAAAGAAAGTTTCTAATTACAAGAGGGCGTGTTCTCTACATTTCACTGACAGTGATTTCCTTCAAAAAGGTATAAAAAATGTTTAGTTGTATGTAACCATTTTGATTTTATTTATTTATTGTTAGAGTAAAACGGAGAAAACTAAAATCTCAAGCTATTCCTACGAGGAATTTGCCAGTTGTTTCTATTCAATCACAACCAGGATCGTCTTCTAGATCTAAAATAACTACAAGAATAGAGACAGTTGTAGCTTCCACTTTAAACAATTTTAAAAATGAGGTAGTTGAAGTGTCTGCGCCTTGTGGAAATGTGCTTGATATTGAAGACCAGAAAGATAAAGAAGCAGCAGAAACCTTGATAGCCATACTTAACTCCCAAGAAATAGCTGAAACACAGCAGGTAGGCCCTAGTTTTAGAGAGATTGCCGTGCAAGTGAATACACCAAACGTACTAACAATTTGTGAACTCATAACAACTGATGAAAAACTTAAAAATTTCAATTTTTGACTCAATTGTGGAACTTTTTGAATAAAATTACAAAGACAAATGAATTCGTCGTTTAAATGTGCGACAACGTGTTATGTTATTGTTAACAAAGTTTAAAACTTTGAGTTCACTATTTGGTATTACTGCAGACTTAGATAATACTTACATTTATGAGATAATTCCAGTATTAGCTAATCTTTTAAAGCCGTTAATTTTTTTTTTTTTTTCATTCAAAAGTGAAGTAGTTCAAAATATGCCTATTTGTTTCAGTGAGTTTCAGCAAGTGAGAGTTATATTGGAATGCACAGAGATTTTTGTACAGTCCGAAATATGATTATGTTGTCGAATAAGATTTTACTCACAAAATAAATCACATATTACTGTCAAATTTATGACTGGTGTTTCCTCAGGTGGTCTCATTACATATTTCAGCAAACCTTATGGAGGGAGAGCTTCAGATAAAGTTATTTTTGAAGAAAGTAATATTATATCTTTGTTAGATGCTGACAAATATGCAGTTATGGTTGATAAAAGATTTCGGATTAAAGATATTTGCAACATACATAAAATTAAATTAATTAGGACCCATTTAAAAAAAAAGTGCCAACTTACTGTAGAGGAATCTATTTTAAATGCCAAAATCAGCGAGGGTTTACACTGAACGTTCAAATAACTAGCGACTTAAAATATTTAAAATACTGAATGGAAAATTAAACTGGATACTTATTCCAATGATTGAGAATATATTTATTATTATAAGTACAATTACAAATCTATCATCAACAATTTTAGCCGATAATAAATTTTTGTAAAATTAATATATAGATTTTCAATTTTGTATTGTTATATTTTTAAATTGTCAGCATTTTTTAATTTTCTGTTTCAGAGTACTTAAAGTAAAATGGCTTTTAAGTTTGTTAGGTTATTTTTTTATAAATTTTCTATAATTTACATGACTAAAAATCAGGTATTATATAAATTACTATATAATGTGTATGCTTCCTATTTTGTATTTAGTTTCAAAAATTAATTAATGTAATCCCTAAAATCCCATAATAAAGTCAAGAAGTAAAAAAAGTGTATTAGCCTATTTTTTTAGATAAAATAAATATCTTTTAAATAGTAATTTATGTTAAAACAAAAAAGTATTAGTATTATTTCTGTGTCAGTTATATCTAGTGAAGATGGTAATCACTGAGCTACTTTAAATAAAAAATGGATAATAAACATAAAACTTTATTAATTACAAGCTACATGCACCATTTTATACAAATAATTATGTTTTACAGTAGAAAACATCTCAAATGCTAATTTGTAATCAAAATCCATTTATTTATTAATTATTAAGCTGTCATAAAATGGTGCATAAATAACAAAATAGGAATTTTGTAAATTTAATATTGCCATACCCATTTGTATTTGACCATAATATTTATGATTTTTTTTTAGTTTATACTGCTTATGTTTACTAATAACATATTTTATATTAGGAAGTGCTTCCATGATAGTCTTTGTTTTACCTAAAAACATAAATAGTTTATAGTCATAAGAAAAATACCAGGTATTTAACATAATGTGTTATATAGTTATTAAAAATATGCATTTTATTTCTAAAAGATATAATAGTTGATCATTAAAAAATATAATGCCAACTGCTGAATAACCTAGCCATTTATTTGCTGCTTAAATGACAAAACCACATTCCACTACATCCATTTTCAAAATTTTTATAAAAACATCTCTTGCATTATTTTCATTCTCTATGCCATGTTTTATATACTTATTGTTAATAACAATTTTATCGATTTATTTTTCCAATCACTTTTCTTGAAAGTATATATCTCATAGCATCGACTACCTGTTATGCGATATTTCCTAAGTTTTTTCCAATCTCCTGAACCTTGAGGAATATTTATAGCTACTTCTATGTCATCATTATCCAAATTGGCTAATACTTGTGCACAACTAGCTCTTTGGACAGGTACATTGACTGATGCTAAGTTCATCATAAGAGGAGACTGATAAGAGTTATTTAAAATTTCTGTCACAAAATTTTGGCTTATATTTATTTGTGGATTGATATGTGGACCTATTTTTGGAGTTTCTCGTCGCCCTTCCCTAGAAGATGAAGTAGTTATAATTTTGTCCACTTTTACAAAATACACATCAAAACTGTGTTTGCTGAAACTGGTAATTTATTACAAAAGAAATTCCGAACTTCATTAACAGCAACTGTAGTACTAGCCCCTCACAAACACCCCCAGCCATTCCTGGCGGGGCTAGGGGGTGCTTGTGACGGGCCTGGTAGTCTGTGGTGACCCGTTTCGCCCAAAATTGACTCAATATTGCTAGATCTTGTGAAAGAAACAATTTCTGACTTAATTTCCTGGAAATAATTTGAATCTTTTTTTCTGGGGGCTGGGGGGTGTTTTTTGGGGGGCTGGGGTGGCCCGTTTTGCCCGAAAATGGCTCAATATTGCTAGAATTTGTGAAAGAAACAATTTCCACCACATTTGGGCGAAATATTTTTTGGACCGATTTCGGAGCTTAGGGATCCTCCTCCAAATTTATTCCATTAAAACTGACTACAAATGCTTACCTGAAAACGACTCAAAAGTTATTTATATAGTTTGTAAAATAAAATGACTATTACACTAAACACACGCCAATAACACAAAAAAACTAGAACTAAGAAATATTTCACGAAAAAAAGCAATAACTAAACAAAATACAGTTCAAAAACGCTGAATACACATAAACACCCATAAGAAAGCAATTGTAAACAACATGTAAACAAAAAAACTACTCTTTACAGCAGTTCCAACTGTCAACGCATGAGCGCTGCAATCTTAATCAGAGTAATGTATACACTGCACAACTTGTATACAGTGTGTACATGCAATGCTCATTACACTACCTGCCCACTCATTTTTTTTTTAAACTAACCCAGGCAGCACACATTAGTATAACTAACGTATGTTATACGTAATACTCGTTTAATTTTGGTATTGGTTGATTCCGTATACGTTTACAGTTTACGATTATTATACATGCCGTATTTTAAAAAATATATTATACGTTTTTTGTATACATCCTATGGTATATAATTGTAAATTTTTCTACGTTTAAATGTAGTTAACAACATACGACTATTTTTAGTTTGCGATGAACTATATATATACAGTGGGCCTAAATATACGTTTGGGTTTATTTAAATTAAATTCGTATAAATTTACATAATATTAAAATATGTGTTCTTCGTTTATAACTCCCGTTTAAATTTCGTCTTGGTTGATTTTTTAAACGTTTACCATCTACTATTTTTATACTTAACGTTTTTTAACAGATAAATTAAACGCTTTTGTTTGTGGATACTAGTTAATATACCTATATTATTCTACGTTTAAATATACGTCACCTTAAACGCATATTACCAGTTTTCGATGAACTAGTAGACAGAAGGAAATAATATGTATCTATTTAGGTGTATTTAAATTAAAAGCTTATAGATTTATTTATTTACATTACACCATATTTTTTTAATTATATTCCCGGTAATATTTATAACAAATTCCCCATTGTACCGATTTCAAACACCCGAACATTTAAATAACCCGCCAATAACCATGGTGGGGTAAACTAGTCCATGTCGTTTAAGTGAGTGAGATTCGGGGTGTGCTTTAAGCTAAGTCGGGCTGGTCCAAAGTGCGCGTAGTGCAGATAATCGAGAGGGGAGTAAAGTACCGGCAGACGATCGGGAATCAGCTGACTGATGTGGCTGGTTGCTGTGAAGCGCTCGCTATCAATCAGACAATTCACGCTATAAGTTATATTTCTGTTAACTATTTGCTAATCACGATAATTGTACTTGTATTCCTGCTAATTGGAAATAATTGTATGGATTTTTAAATTTAGTGACTTTTGTTTCGCCGTGAATTATTGAAACATGTTCTATCAAATTTGTCAATTGTTTTAAAGGAATTATTGAATTGTGTAGACTACCTAACATTCAATAATCGTTGCAGAATTCTCTGGTGTTTCACATGCTCGGCATCTAAATTTCGATTGTAATGTTCCTCTTCTGGAAATTGTGCAAGGGCGTTGGTGTTGCTAGCGTTGCTAAAAATACATGGCTTCTTACGAGAATTTTACATAATTTTGTAAAAATAATAAAAACAAACTTATTTGTTTCTAAATGAGGCATAGAAAATACTGTTTGTATGTGCATGTTTTAATTGATAAATTATTTAATTTTACCTATACCATTACTGCGTGTTTGTTCAATATTTCAATTTGTGTTATAGACATACAAACAAGTTTCAAATAAAAGTTATATGGTTTTAAAAAACACATATTATAAAAATATTTTTGGACATACAGAGTGTTGCATATTTTCCTGGCAAATAAAAATGTATATTTTTTAAATGGAACACCCTGTATTTTATTTCAATTTTAAAATGGTTTGGTAATACTGTATTCAACGCTTAAATATTTTTAAATACTATCACAGGGTTATCAAGGAATTAATTTTTTCATGAAATTGGAGAATGATGTAGATCCCAAATTAAATTATCATAATTTAGGTAGCTTTAAAATGATTTTAAAATCGTTTAAAATATAAACTTACAAGATACTAAGCTAACGAATGGTGGTTTATTTTATACAGTTTTTAAAAAAAATTAGTTCATTTACTAAATTCTTCAAATACAATACCCTGTATATTATTTTAGCATAAAATTCCTTATACATTGTTCTATCCAACGACACCATACTGTTGGCCAATAACACATATACAGGGTGTCCTATCCGTTTAATACTCTAGCACGCCACTGGTGGCACTTGTTAGTAAATGCATCATGCGCAAGCTTAAAATCTGCAGGCGTTTTCGGGATAATGCAAGATGAAAAAGCGAGAAGAGTCTTAAGAGAAATGCGGCTTCTTGATAAGTTGTATTTTACCTTTTCCTCATCTTTTTTGTAAATAATATGTGTAATAAAAGTTTTGTTATATAATAATAAATGATACAGTTCACTAAATCGAAATTAAATATAAAAGCCGTTTTATTAATAAATACCATCAGTGCGTAATTGATCGATATCGGTTTTATTATTATAAATACTAAAAAAAAAAATAATACAAAAGTTGTATGACCATATTCAAGAATTATTCTTAAATGTTTATACTATTTTAAATCAAAACACCCTACATATTTAATTGTTTTCATATCGTCAAACAATTTTAATAGACTTCATTCATTTGCCATGTTGTATATAGGGTGTGGCAAAACGCGAGGTTACAATTTTCTCAATTTTTTTTAAGTGAAATACCGTGCATACTATACCACCAATTAATTAATTAAACATGATTGATAACTAGCGTATCTAAAGGCTATTAATACATTTATGTAAATCAGATATATTCTTATATTTGTTGGTAAATCCGAAAGAGATAAAGTTTCCAAACAGTAATTAATAATAATGTTGAACATGTGAATTCCCTTTCTCGCGCTTTAAAGATTTTTTATCAAGAGTCGTAAACGTTTGTTGTCGATAACCGTAACTGTAAAATACCGAAGATGTTGAATACTGACTGGGATTGGGGATTATTTAGTATATCAGAGATATAAAATGGACGAGATACAGACAATCAGCATCAGTTACTAAATTGCTTTCAATTATATCACCTACCACCTACAAAAATAGTTTTATTAGATTTTACAAACAATCAAATGGTAAGTTTTTTTGTGTAACATAATTTTAAGTATATATTTTTATTTTCATTGTGGTACTTATGATTTTACTGTGTTGTTATTATTATATATTACCGAATAAGATTATATTTAAAACGTTCACATTTCTATATTTTTCGTTTTAAAATAATAATTCCTGCCATTTATCATGACTATGAATACAAAAATACCGAGAATTATAATGAACTTATTAGAAACCATTAAACTAAATAAATATCTTTTATTGCAGATGTTACTGAAATTGATGTTCTGTTCGGTATTAATAATACTGGTAACAGCAGAATCTCAGATACAAAAGAATGATCCATGGGAAGTGAGTCCTCAAGCAAACAGAGACGAATATGGCAATACGAATGCAGGCGTTGAAGTTAAAAGAAAAGGAGAGCAGCACGATTTGGAAGCCGGATGGAACAAAGTGGTTCGAGGACCAAATAAAGCAAAACCGACATGGCATGTAGGTAGTACTCTTAGGTTTAAGAGATCTCCCAAAGAACCTTGGGAAGTAAGTCCTCAAGCAAACAGAGACGAAAATGGCAATACCAATGCAGGAGTTGAAGTTAAAAGAAAAGGAGACAAGCACGATGTTGAAGCAGGATGGAACAAAGTAGTCCGAGGACCAAATAAAGCAAAACCGACCTGGCACGTAGGTGGCACCTTCAGATTCAAGAGATCTCCCAAACAACCTTGGGAAATAAGTCCTCAAGCAAACAGAGACGAAAATGGCAATACCAATGCAGGAGTTGAAGTTAAAAGAAAAGGAGACAAGCACGATGTTGAGGCAGGATGGAAAAAAGTAGTCCGAGGACCTAATAAAGCAAAACCCACCTGGCACGTAGGTGGCACCTTCAGATTCAAGAGATCTCCCAAACAACCTTGGGAAATAAGTCCTCAAGCAAACAGGGACGAAAATGGCAATACCAATGCAGGAGTTGAAGTTAAAAGAAAAGGAGACAAGCACGATGTTGAGGCAGGATGGAAAAAAGTAGTCCGAGGACCAAATAAAGCAAAACCGATCTGGCACGTAGGTGGCACCTTCAGATTCAAGAGATCTCCCAAACAACCTTGGGAAATAAGTCCACAAGCAAACAGAGACGAAAATGGCAATACCAATGCAGGAGTTGAAGTTAAAAGAAAAGGAGACAAGCACGATGTTGAAGCAGGATGGAACAAAGTAGTCCGAGGACCAAATAAAGCAAAACCGACCTGGCACGTAGGTGGCACCTTCAGATTCAAGAGATCTCCCAAACAACCTTGGGAAATAAGTCCTCAAGCAAACAGAGACGAAAATGGCAATACAAATGCAGGAGTTAAAGTTAAAAGAAAAGGAGACAAGCACGATGTTGAGGCAGGATGGAAAAAAGTAGTCCGAGGACCAAATAAAGCAAAACCGACCTGGCACGTAGGTGGCACCTTCAGATTCAAGAGATCTCCCAAACAACCTTGGGAAATAAGTCCTCAAGCAAACAGGGACGAAAATGGCAATACCAATGCAGGAGTTGAAGTTAAAAGAAAAGGAGACAAGCACGATGTTGAGGCAGGATGGAAAAAAGTAGTCCGAGGACCAAATAAAGCAAAACCCACCTGGCACGTAGGTGGCACCTTCAGATTCAAGAGATCTCCCAAACAACCTTGGGAAATAAGTCCTCAAGCAAACAGGGACGAAAATGGCAATACCAATGCAGGAGTTGAAGTTAAAAGAAAAGGAGACAAGCACGATGTTGAGGCAGGATGGAAAAAAGTAGTCCGAGGACCAAATAAAGCAAAACCGACCTGGCACGTAGGTGGCACCTTCAGATTCAAGAGATCTTCCAAACAACCTTGGGAAATAAGTCCTCAAGCAAACAGAGACGAAAATGGCAATACCAATGCAGGAGTTGAAGTTAAAAGAAAAGGAGACAAGCACGATGTTGAGGCAGGATGGAAAAAAGTAGTCCGAGGACCAAATAAAGCAAAACCCACCTGGCACGTAGGTGGCACCTTCAGATTCAAGAGATCTCCCAAACAACCTTGGGAAATAAGTCCTAAAGCAAACAGGGACGAAAATGGCAATACCAATGCAGGAGTTGAAGTTAAAAGAAAAGGAGACAAGCACAATGTTGAGGCAGGATGGAAAAAAGTAGTCCGAGGACCAAATAAAGCAAAACCCACCTGGCACGTAGGTGGCACCTTCAGATTCAAGAGATCTCCCAAACAACCTTGGGAAATAAGTCCTCAAGCAAACAGGGACGAAAATGGCAATACCAATGCAGGAGTTGAAGTTAAAAGAAAAGGAGACAAGCACGATGTTGAGGCCGGATGGAAAAAAGTAGTCCGAGGACCAAATAAAGCAAAACCGACCTGGCACGTAGGTGGCACCTTCAGATTCAAGAGATCTCCCAAACAACCTTGGGAAATAAGTCCTCAAGCAAACAGAGACGAAAATGGCAATACCAATGCAGGAGTTGAAGTTAAAAGAAAAGGAGACAAGCACGATGTTGAAGCAGGATGGAACAAAGTAGTCCGAGGACCAAATAAAGCAAAACCGACCTGGCACGTAGGTGGCACTTTCAGATTCAAGAGATCTCCCAAACAACCTTGGGAAATAAGTCCTCAAGCAAACAGAGACGAAAATGGCAATACAAATGCAGGAGTTGAAGTTAAAAGAAAAGGAGACAAGCACGATGTTGAGGCAGGATGGAAAAAAGTAGTCCGAGGACCTAGTAAAGCAAAGCCCACCTGGCACGTAGGTGGCACCTTCAGATTTAAGCGATCTCCTAAACAACCTAGGGAAGTAAGTCCTCAAGCAAACAGGGACGAAAATGGCAATACCAATGCAGGAGTTTAAGTTAAAAGAAAAGGAGTTCAACACCATGTGGAAGCAGGAAGGAAGAAGATAGTTGAAGGGACAATTAAGGCAAAATCAACCTGGCACGTAGGTGATATTCTCAGATTTAAAAGGTCGGAAGAATCACAAAATTAAATGTTCGCGATTTCCACCTGTTTTTTATTTATTATATTGAGCCCGATATCATCATTGTGCATGTTTTATTTATTATTATTTATTTATGTATACCAAAAATTGCTGCCATATTTATATAAGATATTACTTTGTAAGTTTTGATATTTTTGTATTTTCTAACTAAAATAAATCCATTGTTTTATTTACGTAAAATTGTGTTTTTCTGAATTTACTAAATTATATGTATTACCTATCTTTTATTTGATAATTTTATCAAAGAATTAGTAGAAACATTGGTACAAATTTAGAAAAAGTGACATTGGTGTCGTTTAGGATGAAAAGGAGGGTCAAGTGCCCGCCTCGTTTCAGGCTGCAGTGTTTAAATTAAATGGTGTCAGAAAAATAAATAATATATATTTATGTTTAGCAAAAAAATTTATATTTTAAACTCTCGATTTAAATTTTTCATGTCTGCGTCTGTAAAGTGGTGAGCGTAGGTTGCTCCACATCACTTTCACCTTAATAGCTCCATTGCACAACCTGTGTAGGGACTGCCTTACAACTGTTTAACCCCCTTTCGAAATATTACCTAACATGGAAAAAAATAAATGTTTAAAAGTTCTTTAGAATATGATATTAAAATTTTACTAACTATTTGTGGCTACCGCATAAAATGAAAAATCATTTTCTACATTACGCAGAATAAAAAACTATTTAAAGAACTGAATTTTAGAAAAGAAATTAAATCTATTAACACATCTACATTAAGAATGGTACACAGAGCAACTGAACATTCTCAAAAATTTCGTAGTAAAATATTACTAAATTCAGTAAACATTTTTGGTGTGATAGAATACAACTATAAAAAAAATATCTAGTTAAATAAACTTTGCCAGTGTCGTACGGTATGGGTAAGTAACACCTTTATCCCCTCTAAATTGAACGACACTATCCAAAAACTTATTTTGACTATACTTTGACATTCTTTGATGCTTTTAAAATAATTCATGATGTGAACTGACAAAGTAATTGGTTTTCGAGGTATTTACTGTCTAATGTGTACTTTATTCATTTTAATTGTTTTTAATTTTGGTTTTTTAATAAACTTTCAACATCGTGAAATACTTTTAATAGACTTCATGCATTTGCTGTGTTATATATAGGGTGTATCAAAACGTGACGTTACGATTTTCTCATTTTCTTAAATGGAATACAGTGTTTAATTAATTAATTGGTGGTATAGTATACACGGTATTTTACTTAAAAAATTGAGAAAATCCTAACCTCGCGTTTTGCCACACCCTGTATTCAACATGGCAAATGAATGAAGTCTATTAGCACATAGCTACAGACATGAAATTTCAATCATACTACCACAGACGTGACGTCCCCTAGACACCTTTTTCCTTTTTAACAATTTTTTTCGATAAAATTTTAAGTTTTCGATATATCAGTAGTGTACAACAATGATTTAAGGTGTGATTAAAGAGGTTTCTCTTATTAAATAAGATATTACTAACATTTAATTGTATAATTTATTATACTACATTAACGGATGGTATCTAGTAAGGTTTTTAAGCTAAATCGATGAAGAGACAAATTTTAAACAAAATGGCTATCTTACTTTAAAATGTGAAATTTTGGACTTGTACGATTTTTGAACTCACCGATTCAATTATTTGTTTTGCAATTTCTGATTTTCATTATTTTAACCAAAGATAGTTGACGTACCTAAATAATAATATAATGTTTATGATATTAGAGTAACTTTCTTAAAAAAAAAATAAATATAATTTATAGAATTTGTTTTTAAGTCAAACTCATTTGATAATCTATAGAGAATAACATTTTTCGTGAAATTAGGAGTTTTTTTATAAAAACTAGTAAACATTTGAAAAAATAGATTGTACTTTGAATGAAAATAAATTAATGTATACAAATAATGATGGTAGGTAAGGTTATCCGGGTTTTCTTCACCTGTAAATAAAATGGCACCATCAGTCATCTTTAAGTGATCCCATTGTGGCATAGCAAATAATAATAATAATAATAATACACTGACCGGCACAAAAAGAGAATCACTAAAATATTTTCTTTAAAATCATAAAATATATATTTATTTTTGCTTTGGCTTGAATTTGGTAAACGTGTATTATTTAACACTTATTTAAGCTTGGATCCGTAATAACAAAAGTCAATGATATTGTAAAAAAATAAAAGAAAAATAAAGTGGCAATATTTAATTGAAACAATTGAGATAATCATATAAAATCAGTTATACATGTCAAAAAAATTAATTTAATAACTGGTATTACCCCCTCTGGCTCGAATACAAGCTTCCATACGTCTGTGCTTCTACCAAGTGTCTTATGCCATTTTGGTCCAACTGTTCCCATATGTCAATTAGCATATTTCTAAGTTCTTCTGAGGTGTCTGGAGTTAATTAGCGCGATCTAAGATGTCTGCCCATCATGTCCCAGACATATTCAATGGGATTTAAGTCGGGGCTGCGGGGTGGCCATTCCATTGTCTCAATACCGACGTCAATAAGATACTAACGGACTGCCCTGGCAACATGTGGTCAAGCATTATCATGCATAAGAATAAAATTGTTGCCAATTAAGAGGTGCAAATGGAATGACGCGATCTTGTACAACTTCGCTTATATACTGATCTACATTCAATGATCCTCCTTTTACTACGACAAGCTCCGTGCGGTAGTCACCATTAAAACTAAACCGTGGAACGATATTGCACTGTCAGTACCTTTCTCCAGCTCTTCTCCATATCCTTTGGCGACCATCAGGTGATCTTAGGCAAAATCTAGACTCGTCAGATAAGAGTACTTGGCTCCATTGATTTATGTTCCAATGAAGGTGATCTCGAGCAAATTGAAGACGCGCTACTCGATGATGTGGGAGAAGTTATGGGGTATTGGCAGGCCTTCGAGCAATTAAGCCAACTGCATTCAGGCGTCTTCTTACTGTTCTCTCACTTACATTCACTTCTCGAACTTCTTTAAGTCGATTTCTTGCTTGAGAAGCAGTGGCATCCCGATGTCGAAGAATAAAAAGATGTAAAAAACGATCGTCTACAGGCAATGTGGAACTTGTCATGCCCGAACCAGGCCTTCTTGTGTAATTTCCAGTTTCAAGAAAACGCCTATATGTTCTATGGATTTTGTTAAGAGACTAAAACAGTGGATCTACGTAAAAACAGTATGTCTGGCAACGCTGATCGTTCCCTCGAATGGTTATCCTGAAAGTGTCTCGCGACCCATCTCCGAGCTTCCGGAATGTACGGAGCGTAACATTTAGGCATCTGTCGTCCTTAGGGTCGCCTCGGTGGTCTCCTGTCTCCTGACGCGCCTGCCGAAATGGTACCTTCAGTGAAGCTATTCTTGTCTCTCACAAGCTCTGCTTGGGGTTAAACTCATATGGAGGTGAAGTGTAGGAAAATCTATTATTATTGTATTGCCATTTATTTGAATTATTTAATATTTTCTTGGGAATTTTTAGTAAATATAAATTATATAAAGCTTTGTATGAAATTTATTTTACCTCTCATAATTATTTGTCATATAATTTTACATTTTTATTGGCATTTCATAATTGTTACAAACCGATAATAAAAAAGCAAAATTTGAAATATAATTAAGAACAAAATTTACTTTAGCAATTATCTTTTTCTAACCTATACGAAATAGAGCCGTAAATATTTCTACGGTTTATTTTATTTTTTTTTGTAAAGGAAAAATATAAACCTTCAGGTAAAAGTGAAATTATTCCAAAATTTTATTTAATTTTTTCTCAAAAATTGAGAAAATCATTACACAAACAAAATGTTGCTATTTTTTGCCATCAAAATTTGACAAAATTTTAAAAAAGGTGACTCCAGAGGAACATATTTAAAGTTAATTTACACGTACAGGCTTTTTTTATTTCACTCTTAGTGGACGTAAAAATATTATTGGGGGTAATTACAGTACCGACAGAGTAATAGTTAATATAACAGGTAACTACATTACCTACAGAGTACGATTAGTTCAACCACCCGCACCTACAGGCCGCTGCAAGCAAACTTGTTGCCAAATTTCTACAAAGACACTGCAACTCTTAACTATTCTTCTAATTGATTAATGACCGATTCCACCGTTGTGTTAAACGAAGTTTAAAATGACATTTTTACATTAACATTGTCATTTTAATCTCCGTTTAACACAACGGTGGAATCGGTCCTTAAAGGTACAGAGAAGCCCAATAGCACAACTCGTAGTCGAAAGTGGAAAGAAAAAACAAAAAAATGGCCGCTCGGAGTACGTCTCACAGACCGGTCGTCTGTGATTACGGGTTAAAATTGTTTATAGATGTGAAAACAATCAAATACCAGATCGTTTATGGACAACCCTATATATTTAGGAATAGGTCTTAAATATGGTCGTACAACTTTTAAGGTGAAGTTGGCAAAGTGCGCATTTTAGGTAAGTATGAAAGTGAGACGTAGTTTCCTTATTTTTATACCAATCAATCTATGAACATTGTAATACAGTTGTCTAAACATGTTTCAACTATCGGTTAACAGAGGGTGCCATTTAGCATCATCTAGACTATAAAACAGAATCGGCTACTGTGACGTGTTAAATAAACAGGTTGTCCAAGTTTGTTAAGCTTTTTTAAATCTACGATCATCTGCAATTGCTTAAATGTTTTGGTAAGTTTTAATGTTTGGCTTTAATTAAGGCATTTAGCCACCAATTTATTCTTCTTAATTAAGTTCATTTGCAAGAAAAAAACATGACCTACGCACTTAACCTCAAAAAACACAAAGACGGGTAAGTGCGAGGTTACCGGTTTTTTCTAGTACGCACTTCCCCGATAATACATTTTTTTTTATTTTTTTTACAGGTCACAATGCCTTCAAATTAAGTACGTAAAACTAATAAAGGCAGAAATTACACTAAGGCGACTCTGGAACAAGCTGTAGAAGATGTAAATTCTAGTGTTTATAATGCATACAAAGCTAGTAAAGTATACAAGATTCCCATGACTATCCTAATTGATCATGTTAAAGGAAAAAGAGGAAAAAATCTACTTCTTTAGGCAGATCAACAGCTCTGTCATTAGAAGATAAAAAAAAAAACTAGTAACGGGCTCTCTTATATGGAAAAGTACGGGTGCGGTCTGTCAAGAAAAGAGGTGCTAAAATTGGTAGGA